TGGTATTTCTCTTCCTATGACTGGCTTATTTCATCTAATGTAATGTCTTCCAGCTTCATCCATGATGTCATAGGTAACAAGGTCCCTCCTGTTTTTTAACTTGAGTTGTGATTTGGGGTTTTTATTTTCATCAGGTGATAGATACTTGTTTTTTATCTTGAAACACTGAATAAACATAGGAGTGCAGAAACCTCTTTATAAACTTCTATTTCCTTTGATTATATCTGCAGAAATGGGATTTCTGGATCAAATGTGTTACTGAAGACAGGGACAGTGTAGGTGCCATTCATTGAGTGCATGGTCCCTGGAACACAGTGTGTATTTGAAATATTTGTAATTAACAAGTATAGTGAAATTTTATTTATGACATAACAAATAAAGCTTACCTGAAGACCAGAGTGCAAAGCTAGCCATACCCGTTAGCCATAGAGGCCAGGCAGTAGTGTCACACACCTTTAATTCCAGCTCTTGGGAGACAGAGGAGGAGGGATCTTTGTGAGTTCAAGGCCACCCTGGGTTACACAAAATTGAATCTGTCTAAAAGAGAAACAGAGCTCACACAAAGGTAATCACAGCACTTGGGAGTCACACACCTTTAAGGAAGGAGACAGGAGTGATATGGCTGGGAAGAGAGAGGAATATAACGAGGAGGAGATAGGAGCTCAGTGAAGTCTGAGGATTTGTGGAGAAGGGTACAGTCAGTCTGAAGCAGTCTGAGGAAGCTCAGTCTAAGGATGCAGTCTGAGGATGCAGTCAGTCAGAGGATGCAGTCTGTGATGCAGTCTGGGGGTGCAGTCTAGGGATGCAGTCTGAGATGCAGTCTGAGATGCAGTCTGAGGATGCAGTCTGAGATGCTTTCACCCTCTGACAGCTGACTCTGAGTTTTCATACTAAGACCAATTAGAATTCATGCTACAAAAGAGTGAGAAAAGATATTTGTCTAGGTAGCAAAATTCACATAGTGAATTTAAACTATCAAATAAAATGACAAATTTCAAATGAACAAATACATGTTTGAATGAGTTAAGATTGTAGGGAGACACTAACGCATCTGTGGAAGGGACATTAAATGATCTGCCTCTAAAGGACAAAATTAAGATCTGATTTCTTTTCTTTCTGTGCATCATTACCACTTTATTACTAGGGAGAATGACCCTGAACAATTCCTTTGGACCTAATTACATCTTCATTGTTCTATGGCACCTCATCCAAACCACCAGCAGTAAACACTCCCAACTTGATCATCTTCCCAGCCAATAAGCTCCAGAAAGGCCCATCTAGGTTACACTTAGGGAATAAGAGAGTTACTTTGAATCTTGATTCTGCTCAGTGTTTGAACATTGTTTCTCTTTGGCTATTGGTGAAATAATTAGACAGATTTGATGAAATATGTTTAAATACCAACCTCGGTTATTATACAGTGGTGGACTTCTGGGTAACATTTTATTCCTTTGTACCTTTCAACACTTTACAAATTATATTAGCTTTGAATTACATTTTATAATGATGAGAAATCAGTCCAAGAAACTCTTGCGACTCTTGAGGGACAGAATTGAATTAGGGAAGTAAGGAAACTAGAAATCCTGGAGTATTTAGAAATCTCTTGAGTTTCTACAGTGTAGATGATTCAAAAGGAGGCTAGGGCTGTGTGTATTGGAGCAGCCTCTGCTTCCAGATCCGTTCATTCTGAGCTGTTGAACACAAAATAGACAAAGGTGATCTGAAGCATAGGGGGTAGCAAGTGCAGTTCATTCGCTCTTGCAATTAATTGTCTTGTCTCTGAAGCTGCGATTGAAAATGTACTTGTAATAAAACTCCTGTGCCTCTTAACCTGGCTTTCTCACTAAAGCCTCCCTCTTTACCATGCATGCGCTTATTAAAAAACATGGGTTGTCATGGAAATTTCAGTGTCAAAATTGCAACTAGAAGGTAAAAACAGAAAATGAGTCTTTGTTAAAGAGAAACTTCTTTATATATATATACATATATATATATATATATATATATATAACATTAAAAGTAAGAATGGTAGATGGGCTTTACATGTGAACTGATTTTATACAACAGGCAGTCATGGAAGAGGTTCCACAGAGATCTAATTTGGGGAAATCAAATAAGTTACAGTATGACAAGGGGACGTATAACTGGTAGGAATTTTGTAGGGACTCTGCTTCCATTGAATTAAACATTTATTAAGGCTCTACTACTTTATATTAAAAATTAATATTTTCATAGATTGTCTAAAAGTGAGCATATGGACACAGTTTAACATGAGTTTTCAAATGATTTTTAGTTGTCGTTAAAATCCAAAATTAATGAGACCAGATCTGTGAACCCCTGAATGGCAGCCGTGTGGAAGATCAGAATCACAGCTCTCTTTCAGTTGTTGACAACTATGCAAGTCAGAAACTGCACAAAGCTTGCCAACCAAGAAGATGAGGACAGAAAGAGGTGTTTGTTTTTAATTTATGAGGCATATGCTTTCAAAAACCCAAGAGACTTAACAAACATTTGACTTAAGAAAGAAAATTAAAACTGCAACTGAAACCTCTTGAGAATTCTCCCTGGAGCTCCTTTTTCTTCTTCATCCAAGAGATGACCACAGCTGGAATTTGCTGCCAACCATTAACTTGCTTTTAAAACTTAGTATATTATGTAACTATTCCATAGATACTATGTCATTATACATGTCTTTAAATGCTGTATAATTTGCCACCCCTCACCTATAGATATGTCACAACACTTCAGCCTACTTTTGGGGTAACTGTTGGTTGACATTCATCTCGGTGATTCAGTCAGAAATGTTTCGGATTCTGTCGCTCAGGCATTCATGTCAGCATCACTGTCTTGTGTCTGTGCCCCACATGCAACGAACCACACAACGGCACTCAAGCACCCAAATGGACAACAGGCGGACAAATGATACCACAGTTCGTTGCCTGGAGGGAAAATCCAGGTGGGGGAACGCTTGTCTTCTATTACATATACCTTAGCTGAAGGCCATGGCTCCCCTTCCAGAGCTTGCTTCCCTATCTTAACTTGTCTGTCTTTTTCCCTTTGCTTCCTGCTGTCTCTGTTATAATTAAAAGAAGTGGAAAACATCACAGGTGTCTGCTGGCACGTATTTACAGGTACTGTAGATGGCTTTTAAAAGGTAAAAGCAGTTACAAAGATTGTAATTTGACTTTGTTTGCTTGTGGGTCAGCCCACTTCATCGATTCCTCAGTGCCTAGTGCAGATTGTTCCAGCTTTAACTAGGGAGTGTTATCCTTATTTTAGAAGACACGGGGAATTTCTAGAATGATAGCTTAAGATGGGAAAGCTGTGACTACAGGGTCTGGTGCAGTGTAGACAGTGTTTTTCTCAGGCAAAACAACACTCAATTATAATAGCACCTGTAAACAACAGAGAGGGGAGGAGCAGCTTTTCAAGTGAACTGAAATGCTGCATTAGCTGCAATGGTTGGACAAGACCCGTCTTCATGTTAGGAAGTCAGCATACAGGCATGGATAACATTCTCTCTGATCACATTCATGTGTCTTAGAACATCCATCCATTCAGGTCTACAGATCACTTAAAAAGATATCTACTCCTAAAGCAGATGCTAGGTGATCTAGTCTCAGCTTGAGACCCAGCTATATCTCATTTTCCCTTGACTTATAAATTTCCCTGAGCCATGGATTAGGGGCAAGAATTGGTAGAAACTATCCAATTTGTACTAGAGATCAGACTCCAGGCAGGATTTAAATCCTAGGCTGCAACTGTCAATGGCCCTGATCACTGAGAAAGTGACATAATTGCTTTTAGACTTCTGTTTATTTTTCTGTAACATGGGGCCAGTAAGACAATGTGCACTGCAGTCATAGTTTTTGTGAAGACAAAGGGACATAATTCAGATGCAGTAGCAGCTAACACAGTGCTAGGCATGGCAATGGTTCAGAAAGGGTAGGCAACCGTGGTAGTGGGAGTAGTGATGGGGATCTTGGTGGCATCTTGGACTCCCTTGATACTTTGCCTGGATCACAGGCATCTCTCCACCTGCCATTTACTCAGCAAATATTATAGAACTCTATGGAACACCAGACATTGCTCTTTAAAAAGTATATTCATTATTATTTATAAGAAAATTAATTGTCCACCTGGTAAAATCTTAATAGTGAAAGATGAAAAATGACCATATTGCATTGTGGGAAATTAACAAGAGGTTAAAGTTAATGATCCTACTTGCTTGCCATGTTATATTTTAAATGTGTAGCTAATGTGCTGGATTTTCTTGGCCCTTAGATGCCAATATTTATGCAATGTTAAACTTCCTGTGTTAAGAGAGAGAAATGCAAACCTATTCTTTAACACAGTAGAGACATTCATAAATCTCCACCCTCCACCAAAGGACATGGAATAGCCTTCACCATCTGAATGGCTTCTCTGCTTGAGCCAAATTTCATGTGAGGCCATCCAGTAGGGCGTTTCCCCCTAAGCTCACTGGTCTTTCTCCTTTTATTGTGGCATGGTTTCCTGCTGGTCTTCTTGTCTATAAAATCTTAAATGTGTATCTTTCTTGGCAGCCAAGCTGTCACTCATCTGCTCTTTTCTCTTACTCTCCTATTCCCTTCTAGGCAGGAACTTGTCTCTCTTCTTCTGACCCACCCCTAACAGTTTTCTGTTATTTCCCGATTCAGCCACAAGTCTTCATTTTAGTTCACCTTAGAGTGAACATCCTTTTGCATCAAAACTTGACACACTCAGGTAGTAGTCAGGTCCTTCAGAAATACACCATAGGCACTCTCATAACTCTGCTCTCTTCCAGTATTCCTGCTGCTAGCAAAAGTATGGTAAAGTTCCAAATGCCCAATTTTTCTTAGCTTTAACTTCTTTGCTAATAGCTTCATTCCCACTATTTGACGTCATAGGGAAATTTGAGTTCAGTTGTCCCCAAATGTTGGAACCTTATGCATGTGTACAATTTAAAACTTGAGTACAAACATAAACTTGCACATTAATTTTGCTTATTTAGTGATTGTTTTATTTTCATGAGCATCCATGTGTTAGATCTTGGGAAGGGTTAGTATGTGGCATTGTTAGATGCTAGATGAACAGTCAAAATGTCTGATGCTCTTCCAGTTCACCAGGCAAATGACATTTCATGGTCCCCCCACTTCATCAGGCCTGAGTTAAACATCTAAGCGACTGTATTTTCTTTAATACATAACATCCATTTTAGGAGATAAGTGAAGATGTAAAAGCTTAAAAATTGAAGGTAACTCTTTAATGGTACAAAGCAAGCAGGTGGCGAAGTTGCTACCCAGACCCAGGTCCACAGAATTCCAAAGCCGATGCAATGAAGTTCCATGTTGAGAGGCCCCTCTGAAGCATATAACATGCAAGGTCAAAGCTTTCTTCCCAAGTCGAATAAGCAAACTTCTCTAGTTCAGCGTAACAGAAAATATTGGTATTTATGAAATTAAAAACTTTAGAAATTTATTTCAAATAAACAAACAAAAATCAGTAACAATTAAAGCCCCCTTAGAGTTACCCTGTAGAGGATGTTCAGGGGATAATTGACACCACCCAGTTGAAAAGGCTTCCTACTGACACGATACAACCATTTGCAAGATCAAAAAGTCTCTCAAGACTGAATATAGCAGGGAGGGAGACATCAAAGGGAACCTGAGGAAAAAACACAAAAGTATAAGTGAGATGTGCTGTTTCAAACCATTAACTGAAGCAAACAAGCTTCATACAATATTGTTATATAAAAGGTGGTAAACACTCATGTTTATGATAAGCCTTAGCTCTCCATGGTGGTGATATGTCACATACACCATTTTATATTCTACAATCTGTAGATCCACTAAAAAAAAAATCACATACTTCTAAAAGCATTGATGCGATTCTTTAAAAAAAAAGGATTCATCTATTATGTATATAGTGTTCTGTCTGCATGGGTCCCTGTGTGCCAGAAGAGGACATCATATCTCATTACAGATGGTTGTGAGTCATCCTGTGGTTACTGGGAATTGAACTCTGGACCTCTGGAAGACCACCTAGTGTTCTTAACCACTGAGCCATCTCTCCTGCCACACCTATCTATATTAAATATTTTGGGCAGTGAATATAAATACCATGGCCACAGTGAATTCAGTGTTGAGGGTTTGAATAGTGGTAAGAAATGAGAGGACATGTTTTATAATTTCTTGACTACTTATTAAATGAATCATTCATCCATTTATTCCCAAGAAAGTGAACCTACAGGTGGAAGATGATTTTTGTTTTTTCTTTACTTCATTAAAAATTATAAGGTATTCTAGAAAAATTATAAGTTCTGTATTTCTAGAACTTCAAACAATAAGAAGTTGTATGTATGTATGTATGTATGTATGTATAGTCTTAGTTTGCATTCTATTATTGTGGTAAATACAATGAACAAAAACAACTTGGTGTAGAAGGGGTTTCTCTTTAGCTTGCACATCTCTATCAAGGACACCAAGTCAGGGCAGGCATCTGGGGCTGGAAACTAAAGCAGAGAGATGAAGGATGCTGCTTACTGGCTTACTCAGTTTGCTTTCTTATACAACCAAGGATTACTGCCCAAGGATGACATTGCCCATGATGATCTGGGCCCTTCCATATTAAATAGCGGCCAAGAAAATGCTCCATAGAGTTGCCACCCAAGGATGGCATTGCCTATGATGACTGGGCCCTTCCATGTTAACCATCAGCCAAGGAAATGTTCCATAGAGTTGCCTGCAGGCAAATCTGATGGGGACATTTCCTCACTTGAGGTTCCCTCTTCTCGCATGACTCTAGCTTGTATCAAGTACACACACACAGACACACACACACACACACCTTTCTAAATTAATCATTATGTAATCAGTATTCTATCTTGGGAAAATTTTTCTATATGGATATGATGATTTGAATAAGAATAACTCCCATAATCTCATATATTTGAATGCTTGGTCATTAGGGAATGGCACTCCTTGAGAGGGATTAGGAGGTGTGGCCTTGTTGAGGTAGGTGTGATCTTATTTGAGGAAGTGTGTCACTGGGATGAGCTTTGGGATTTTAAAAGCTCAAGCCATGACCAGTGTCTCTCTCTTCCTGCTGCCTGCAGATCCAGATGTAGAACTCTCAACAACCTCTCCAGCACCATGTCATCCTGCAGGCTGTCATATTTCCCACAATGATGACAATGGACTAAACCTCTGAACTATAAGGAAGCCCCAACTAAGTGTTTTCTTTTTTAAAAAAATGCTAAGAGTTGCCATGATCATAGTGTCTCTTCATAACAATAGAACACTAAGACAATGTCTTTCTTTTTAAATAGGACGATTACACTTCCAGTATATGCTTGTCCAACTAGTTTGCACATGTGTGTTAATTCAAGTGCAAGGGCTTGTGAGAGAATGTCGGGAGACTTCAAGAGGTCAGTCTCTAGTGTCACTTCTGTGTACCATCACCTTGTTCTTTGAGATGGGTTCTCTTACTGGCTGGGGCTCATGAATTAGGCTGGGCTGCCTGTCGGCAGGCCCAGGTATCTCCCTGTCTCTGCCTCCCCAGTGGTAGCATTACACATCTGTGCCACCACACCCAGCATTTGCAAACGTAGGTTCTGGGACTTGAACTTGGATCTTTATGCTTTCCTTTATTGACTAAGATATTTATCCCCAGTCCTCAGACTCAAGTTAATAATCCTTATGGATGAATTTCAAAGTCGAATATATAGAAATACTAATTAGCATCAAGAATTGTACTGTCTTTTGTAGTATCTCTCCTTCACTATCAACTCCTTTACAGGTTAACTACAGGAATATATTTTTTTGGGGGGGTTATGAGACAGGGTTTCTCTGTATTGTTTTGGAGGCTATCGGTTCAGCCCAGCCTCGAACTCACAGAGACCCGCCTGCCTCTGGCTCCCGAGTGCTGGGATTAAAGGCGTGCACCACCACTGCCCAGCACAGGAATATTTTTAAAAAATGAAGTGGCCATGTTAGTTTATTTAACATAAAAGTGGGGCATATGATATTTAAAATAGCTATGATTTTTCTCAATCTGATTTTTAAGTAGCTACTCTGTAACATAATCTTCTATTCTTAGGTACAGTGTCAGTCATCTTCTTGGTTCCCTCAGGTACGATGTCAGTCACCTTTTCTTTGATTCTAAATGTTCAACAATGAAGAAAGCAGGAGGGAAAAATTCTCCTCATCAGTTTGGCAAGCTTCTTCTGGTATTTTAATTTTGAATTTTACGGATATAAGTGATAAAATGGTTTTCTTTCAAGAACCTTAAAATTCAGCACAAGATCCACAGGGAAAATTTTAATAGTCCCAAAGTAAGAAAGAAAATTCATATCTCACATGTAAGTTTCTCTATCACATTTCCTTTCTGTTAATATATCACATCTCTTGAAGTTACTGATTGATTAGAATTTTTTTCTAAACTGGGCAAAACATGTATCTTAGAAGACAGATGGGATGCTGCCTTACTTAAGAATCAATATTGTGAATGACAGATGACCCATCTAATCAAAATCTGGATGAGAAATAACTCACTATGTTTGGTTTTCTTGTTCTTAATTTAAGTACATCCTCATGCCAGCAACAAGGGTACCTACGGTTCCTCCCATCCTGACAGAGACAGCACACAATTCTTTGGAAGAAGATAGAGCCTTTGTGTAATTTCTCTCATCTATTTTTCTGAGAATGACATTATCTTTTTATCACTCTAATTTTTGTGTTAATCAAACTTTAAATATGACAGAAAAGTATTTTTAATATAATAGGGGATCAAACAGTCATACTGCTGAGATGGTAGAAATCTTTTAATATTAAATTTTAATGAAATAATGTTATTGCAAAAGGAAATTTGGATAGAACAAGAAAACTGGATATTCAAATCAGGGTGTGGAGAAAACACGTGCAAGTAGTTGATGCAGATGGCACATTGTCCAAGAACGGAAGGACGGATTCTTCTTCAGCAGTCCTCATCACCACCGCCACTGTGACCCACCACCATCCCGTGAACAGCTAATGACTCCGCGGGCTTATACAATGAAACTCCCATACAACCCTTCTGGAGGCTTCTTCAGGTGGAAGCACAAGGCAGTATGAAGATGAGGCCTTTAGAGAGGGCGCAGACACTCGCCATCCTTTCTCTGAGACCTTGTCCTATGTGTATATCTCTCCATCTTCGTTCCTGGGCAACTGTGTCCTTTACAACATACTAATAACCGTACAAAGGGTGCTTACATGAGTGCTATCTTTTTTATTAATTATTGAGTCTGGAAGCAACTTGTAAGTCTGTAACTGGCTCGAAAGAAGTGGGGTGGACACCCCATTTGCGGCTGGCAGAGGTGAAAGCCTTATGGGATGGGGCCCTTAACTTGTTGATTTCCTACTAGCCCTGGCTTAAATTAACTGTTGCATACTCAGTTGGAAAATTATAGAAGTGTTTGGTGCTGGAGGAAACTGTACAACAAGCTCAGTACTTGGGTAATCCTCAGATATATAAGGTTCACAGTGGATTTCAACAAACTCTGGTTCAAAAACCAAGACCAAAACAAAAAATCAATATGGCAGTCCAACCTAAGTATTAGGTAAAGTAAGGCTGTGCCAGTTTTTTGTTTGTTTGTTTTTGTCAACTTGAAACATGCTACAATTATCTGGGAAGAGGGAATTTCAACTGAGGGACTGCCTTGATCAGATTGCCCATAAGCAAGCCTAGGGCGGAATCACCTTGGTGTAGTTGTTGTCGGAAGGCCCAGCTCCCTGTGGGTTGTGTAAGAAAACCATCTGAGTACACCATAAGGAGAAAGCCACTACGCAGCGTTCCTCCTGGGCTCTGCTTCAGGTCCTACCTCTAGGGTCCAGACTTGAGCGCCTGCTCTGACTTCCCTCAGGAACAGACTATAATAAGCCCTTTACTCTCCTAAATTGCTTTTTTAATGGGGTTTATCACAGCAGTAGAAAAATAAAAAAAACTAGAATATTAGTAAATATTTTTATGTGTCACAACCCTTTCCCTCTGTGACACCCATTTTGCATACACTGCTCTGGACTCAGACAAGACAGTCTAGTTGATGGAAGTCAGAGAATTGACAGTGTCTTCTAATTACAAGTACGTGCTTTTAAAAGTTTTCAATTTGTGTATGTATGTGTGTGTACATGCACACATGCATGTGCATGTACATACAACACACATGTAAATGTACACACAACACCTCATGCATATGGAGATAAGGAGACAGCTTTTGCAAGTTGATGCTCTCCTTCCAACATGTGAGTTCCTGGGACTGAATTCACGTCATCAGGCTTGCATGACAAGGGCTCGTACCCACCAAGCCATCCCTTTTTATAGAGAATTGTTTAAGAAAACAATCCTTCAAGACCAAAAGAGACCCTGAAGGAAACTCAAAGCTGAGGCTGTATTTCCCAAGACTTCTTCTGACTGCTTAAGACTCCAAGATCTAAAGAATCTTTGAAGTTGTTCTCTTTTGTCAGAAAGATATGCATTTCAACATATAAAGAAATAATAAAAGGTCCCAAATAGAGAAAATCTCCTTTAAAACATCAAAAGCTTTAAGTACAACAGGAAGCATGAGTCAAACATCCAATAATCTAGTGGGACACTACAAAGGACACACAGGACAGAGGACAGCACAGCAC